TGTTCCTTGGGTCTCCGATGGGAAATCAGAGTTTAACTTATGGAAAGAAGGGGCTTCGTTCCTTATTCAGGGCTCCTTATGGCAGTGTTTCGACTGTATGGGGAGCTCTTCGTTTTCCCAGGTACTGGGTGACGATTCTACAACGAACACGGGGGGCCATCTGTGGCTGTTTTGGCTCAAGCTTTGCTCATGCCGTCCTCTCGAGGCACTTACCCGGAGGGCTCCGCGGCACACTTCGAGGCTCGGCGGCGACGATGGCGGGCGCCGCGGCAGTGGCGGCACTCCTGCTGGCGGCTGGTCGTCCGGCGGCGGACATCCTCTGTCCGGGCGGCGTCTGCCCGGCCGAGGGCGAGGACGCCGCGCTGCTGCAGGCGCCTTCACACCCCGCAAGCCGCAATGACGCATGCGAGCCTAAGGGGCGACCGAGCCTTTTTTTGACGCTCGCGACCAGAGAGCGGTTGCGGGGGAGGCGCGCGGGCCAGGGGAGTCCGGCGCTTCTGCGCGCGCGCGCTGCGCGCGCAGCGCGGCGCGCGGGCCAGCGGGTGGCGCGAGCGCCGCGTCGCCTGGCAATACTTTGAAAATCTCGAGCTCGTCTGAGTTCTCACGAATCCTAGCAGTTGTTCTCGAGCTCGGGGTGCGCCCTGCGCTCCCGCGGTTTCGCTGGCCAGCGTCGCGGGGGCGCGGGGGCCCTTGCGCGTGGCGGCTTCCTCTCTGCGGCTTCCGCCCTGGTCGCGGGGTCGCCCCGCCGGCCACCCGCCTCCGCGTCTGTCGCCGTCTACCTGCCTCTCGCTTCCTCTTCCTTCCCCTCGCCGGGCTGCGCTGGCAACCGGGGGCCCGCGGCGGCGCCGCCTGCGGGCTCGCGAGGTTTCCCCGTCGCCCCGTGCGCGCGCGTGGAGTGTTCAGATACTTTTAAGAAGCTCGCGAGCTTGATTGCCTGGGTTCCCCCCCGCGAAAACAGGGGGGTCCATCGTCGCGCAGCAGCGCCTGGGAGTGGTGTCAGTGTTTTGTGTCGTCCTCCCCCACTTCTGTTTCCCAATTGTCATCGCGCACTGCCGCGAGTTGTTCTGTCAGCGTGGGGTGGCAGAGCGCGCTGGTGGGCTGGGGCGGGCTGTCCTTCGCCCTTCGCGGGGGGCGTGCGTTGGGCGCGTTTCTGAGCGCCCAGATTTCCTCCGCCGCAGAAGATTACGATCGGGGAGGTGGCGCTCGAACAGATGGTTATGCCGAGCTCGTCCGACACGAACATATTCGGCATGCCCGTGTCTGGCAGCCGTCGAAGCCTTGCCATGATGTTGTAGCGGGGCGCGGCAGTGACGTTGCGTGGTTGCTGCGATGGCTCTCGGGTGCGTTCTTAGAAGCTTTTCGAAGACTTCTTGGGAGCTTTGGTGTTGCGGGGCCCTGTCGAGCGCCTTTTGGGGCGCCATGGCGTCCGCAGTTTAACGAGCTTGGTTCGGGATGCACATCTTCAGACCGTCTTCGCCAGCATGGCCAGCCCCGCCGCTATTGCCATTCTGTTTGCGTGGGCCGCGAAGACGGGGCCGCGAAGACAGAGGGGGGCATACATTCGGTGAGGAAGACAGCCGTCATGATGAGGAATGCAGCCGTCATAATGATAGTCATGGCCACAATGATGGTGTTGATGATGGTGGTGGTGATGGTGATGGTGGTGGTGGTGGTGGTCATGGTGGTGATGATGTTGATGGCGATGATGTGGCTTAATGTGATGATGCTGATCGTGTTGCTGACGATGGCGGGGGTGATGCTGCTGGTGATAACGATGACGATGGCGATCAGTATGATTATGGCGCTGATGCTGGTGCTGCTGATGATGATGTTGATGATGGCGGTGGCGATGGTGATGCCGATGAATCTGATGGTTATGATCATGATGCGGTTGGTGATGATGATGATGGTGGTATTGATGACGATGGTGATGATGCCCATGTCGGCGAACCTGATGAGGATGCTGGTGGTGATACGGACGATGCTGATGATGATGCTGATGGTGATTCTGATGATCAGGACGATGATGATGCGGATAATGCTGCTGCTGCTGATGATGGTGCTGATGTTTTTTTCTGCGGGCACGGATGCTGATGCTGAGGTTGCTGATGCAGCTGGTTATTCTGATGATGACGATGCTGATGGTGACGATGAGGCAGACAAAGACGATGACGAGGGTGATGATGATGATGACGATGATCTTGATGATGACGATGATGATGATGAACATGATAATGCTGATGTTGAGCATGAACATGGACATCATCAAGACGCACTAAGCAACCGCACTTCGCGCATTATGGTTGTGTGTTCGTGGCGACTTGTACAGCGTTAAAGTGGTGATCTTTCCCCTTATACAGTCGACTGAAGTTCGCGTAGGGAGAAGCAGTCGCTGGGCATACATAAAGACAAAACTCAACTGACCACGTCCCAACCCAAATTCCACCGGGCTCTCTCCCGAAATTCCGTTATACTTTGCCAGGAATCGTCATTCCTGGGCGAATGATTCGCCAAGCAATGTCTTTCCAACTTCATTCTGACTCGCGCTCTCGCTGGATAATTTTTACAAAATCCTCAGGAATCGCGCTTTCATGTCTCGCCCGCCCAGCCCGCCCGTCAGGGTCTGCCTGCCCGACCCGCCCGTTAGGGTCCGCCCGCCCGACTCGCCCGTTGGAGTCTGCCGGCCTTGGGTCCGCCCGTCCGCTTGTCTGGAATGTGGCCCGCCTGCTTCAAGGTCCCGCCCTTCCGACACGCCTGCTGGGGTCTGCCCGTTCGCTTGCCTGGCAGCCCGCCCGCCCGCTACAGTGCTCCGCCCGCCCCTGTCCGCCTGTTGGGGCCAGCCCGCCCGCTCCGCCCGTTAGGGTCCGCCCACCCGTTGGGGTTCGCCCGCCCGGCCCGCCCGTCAGCACCCGCTTGCCCGTCCCGCCTTCATGCCGGGGCTTTATCCGGTACCTGGCACGATGCCCCTCAGAGGGTGTACGTTCACAGATGAAGAGACGACGGGTGTCAAGTGTGCTTGGGGCACGCAGGTCGAACATAAAACGCGAGCGAAGAAAGTGCGAACGGTTTTATGGTTGACCCCCCTGTCCAGTGCACATTGTTTTCTACTTGGCTCTCGCACCATTGGCTCTCGCGCCCTGTTGTTGTCAAGGACAGATTTCGGGTTCGGACTGGGCTCTTGGGTTCCTGGCTATAGCAATAACATTGGCTCCCGCCTGCGATCTCCTCACATCTTATTCAAAAATCGCGCTCTCGCTCTAGACTTCAGTTGAATGTGCAGAGTTGTGCTCGCGCCGCGCCCGGGACTTCCAGCCAGATGATTCAGGCATCGCGCTCTGGCGTTTCAAGAATCGTACTCTCGCCCGATACATTCTTACTGTTTACTGAGGAATCTTGATGTCGCCGCTCAGGAGCAGTAGTTTCGCCAGGGCCGTCTTCCGGATTTCATTACGACTCGCGTTTTCTCCCAAGAATCTTCACGATATTCAGGACTCGCGCTTGAATGTCCCGGCCGCCAAGCCCGCCCGCTTTACCATCTCGCCCGCCCATCAGCTCGCCCGTGAGTGCCCGCCTGTCCGTCCCGCCTGGGACCCGTCAGTTCGGGTCCAACCGTCCAGCCCGCCCGTGAGGGCACGCCTACCAGGTCCGCCCGTCTTCTTGCCCTGCCAGGGTCTTGTTCAGTGTCTGGACGATCGAAGTGGTTAGGAAAATAATGGGTACGAAGACTGGAACAAATGGGTACGACAAGAATGGGTTCGATCAGTCTGCAAAACGAAACTGGAAGCAAAGCGTAGCACTTTTCAAATGGATGTATTTGCACACAGATCTGATCAAAGACAACCCCAACCAGTCTCATCGCGCAGTGCACACGCAGAGCCGACGTGGGCCAAAAACTTTGCTAAAATTATTTGGCGCTTGGATCAGGCCTGGGCGGCGGCCCGCCGAGCTCGAACCACTAAGACTGTCCTGCCCCTGATTCAGTATTACACTTCGTGAGGGTCGGATGGGTCCCCAAATCTCCACACATGGTATAAATCTACACACCGGGCGGCTCCCCATGGCAGTCTCAAGCGGTCCCACGGTGCCACGAAACTTTCGGCGCCGAGCGCATCCGTGCGTCTCACATGCTGTGCCACGAAACCCTGGGCGCCGAGCGCATCCTCGCGCTGCACAAGGTCTCGAAGTGCCATGAAACCGTCGGCGCCAAGCATATGCGCGCTTCACATGGTTTCAAAAGTGCCGCGAAACCTTCGGCGCCGAGCGCATCCGCGCGCTTCACAAGGTCACGAAGTGCCACGAACCTCTCGGCGCCGAGCACATGCGCGCGTCTCACAGGGTCTCAAAGTGCCGCGAACCTCGTGACGCCGAATGAGCAGAGTATCGCCCACTGGAATCCTCACGACGACGCCGTACCGCAGAGAGCGCGGCTTCGACGCGACGCGAGCGCGGGCTCCACTCCTAATCATTCACTCTTGGACTGTAAGCCCTGGAAGTCGCCCATGGTCATGGTGGAAGGGCACCAAAAGCAGACATGACCATTCACACCCTGACGAAAGATGCCGTTACAAATGCAGTCCCGAAGCGAGCGTGGAATCCGGTTTCAAACATGTCTTCTCAGACTGTAACAGTATTCCATGCTCATTTTGAGCAGGACTCGGTGTCGGCGTCGCCGTGTTCGTTGTTTGCTTGAGACAGACGGCCGTTTGTCCAATAGCGGCCGCTGTCGATTTTGGAAAGCATTTGTTGTTTGGTATCGTACCCATTTTTTGTCCGTGCCCATATCGGGCGTCCAAGCATTAGCTAGCATGGAGAAGGGGCTCCCTCAAAATGGGAGTGCGTTCGTAGGCGAGGAGAGCGGGTGTCGAGGGCTGGAGGCATATATGTCGAGTGACACGCGGGCAGCGAAGAGCGAACAGTCTTGAGATGAATGTCGTCGTTGTTGTTGGTGGTGGTGATGATGATGGTGATGATGATAGCGAGCTCTGAGGGAAGGGGCGCAGGGCCACTCGCAGCTCTCGGACCCGGCAAACTTCGTCAGGGTAGAGACCGACCTGACGTTCGTGGGCGGGCACCGGGGGCTGCGCCTGCGCCATGGGGAGGGGGAGGAGGAGGAGGAGGAGGAGGAGGAGGAGGAGGAGGAGGAGGAGGAGGAACGCCACAGGTACTTTCCTAAGGCTTGTTTTACATAAAACAGGAGGAGGAGGCTGAGCCAGGGGACGGCTCAGTCGGGGCATCTACGCAGCCGCGCCGCCGACCGCTCCGCGAGCAATCGGGCCGGATGACGATGACGAGGGGGGAGGGGGGGGGGAACCGCGATTTGGTCAGTGGATTACGGAAGTTTTCGCTCGTCTAAGATTGGATGTGCATCGACGAGTGGGTGCCCAATAGAGCATGGGCGCGCTGCTGGGCGCCATGGGGAGGACCAAGAAGTTTCGTGAGTTGTTCTCTTTGGGAGTCGCTTTCTTTTCCCCAGGGAATAACTCAGTGTGGGCGATCTACGCGCGAGAGGATTTGTGAGCATCTTCTCATGAGGATGGCAATCGGAATCATTGGTTGTGATTGTAATCGTGATTCGGGTCGTGGTTCAAATTGTGATTGTAATCGTGATTGTAGTCGCGATTGTAGTGGTGATCGTCGTCATGGTTGTGGTCGTAATCGTAGTCGTAATCTTAGTCGTAGTCGTAAGCGCCGTCGTCGTCGTCGTCGTGGCGGATATTATTTCCCCTCTTTTGTTGGGCGGGCTCTATAATGTTGGGGGGTTCCTTCTCCCAAGGAATACTGCTCCCTGGGCTACGAAAAGATAATTCGTCTCCAGTATTGGGAGGGGGTTCTAAAGACGTAATCGGTTACCTGCTGGTACGAGTGGCCTGGGTGTTCCCTTCAGGTCGCCCCGTGGCCGTCGGGAAAGTTGCCCCTCTCCTGCGCAGCGTGTGGAATTCGAATTCGCGAGTTCTGCGCGTCGTTGGCGATCGCGCATGCAGCAGGTTGGAAGGGATCTTGAGTGTGGGCTGCCGAGGTATACTGCGGAGGTCGATTAGAGAAGGGTGCCCTAATGTGCTTCGTGTTTGTTGGATGTTATTGTGCATCCTGTGGGAGGGTACCCTCGAATGTGCATCAGTTTTGCTAGTGAAGGGTCTCATGCTCTTGAAGGATGTTCGCCTGTCCCAGGTCTGGCCGTACCCGTTCTGAGGCCTTCCCTGCTCCTCGTGCACCGAGGAATCAGAAGCGGCACAAGCATCAATGTTCGGAGATCCGTGCGAATTTCTTGGTGCTGGCCGCCCCTGAGCGGCGCCTCTGGCGCCGCCCCTGGCGCGCTCCGAGCGCCTGGGATGGGGACCCAGCGACGATCCCAGAAACCTGGGTGGACCTCAGAACATTTACGTTTTCGCAGCTTATTTTTCCCCTATGCCCGTCCGAAGGCCTGCTTGCCCGCGGTGTTGGTTTGGGATTCTTTTTGGGCCATCCTCTGCTCCGGAGGCTTGCTTTGAGACTTTGGAGCAGTTCGGGCAGGTTGGGCTGGCTGACAAACCAAACTCCATGTAGCACGGTCATCCCCGCAGCCTTCCCCCTTAGCCAATTCAGTGATGCGGCTTCGAGGCGTATTGGGTGGGGCTCACGCGCGGCACATCAAATAGGGTCGTAGGTTGACATGCCACATCTCATCAAAACGAATGCCCAGGTCCCCGGAACGACTTGTTCAGCTACGGGTGCTCTATTTCAGTTGCGCCCCATCTGGTACGGAGTTCTCGTCTTCATTGTCGCTCAGAGGGACTCCGTGAGTTCAGTGAACAGCGATGCAGGGGGTCTCCAGGAGGCCTGTGTGGAGTGCTCCAAGAATACCACATGACGAGTTGTGATGCCACAGGAATGTTCTTGATGAGGCATCAGGTGCGGTCAAGTCTTGGGAAGAGCCCCTCTCTATCCTTACTACCCGCTGCCCAGACATTCGATATGTTGAGTTCCGGAAGTCCCAGGTTTTTCATCTCGAGTCGCTTTTTGACAAACCTGGAGCCCGGCGAGGCGCCAGGAGGCCCATAACGGCAAAAAACAAATCCATTGTGTTTTTCACGATTCACAACGCGAGCATGCCTGAGTATGCATTTCGAAGCCTCCTCAGGACCTCTGAGCTACCGAGGCGGTAAAGGCGGCAGCAATGCGTGATTTTTACGGCCTTCGACTGGCGCAGGCGTTCCCTCACCTCGCTCCTCGTGGATACACGAACTCTTCGGGAGCCAAGGCGCAACAGTTGGCGAGCTGTCGGCAGCACGCGCAGCGTGCAGCTTGCCCTCCACTTGCCCGTGGTTGGCGACCAGAAAAGGCCCAGGGCCCATATTCTCTCGGGAGAACGAGCTTGACGATGGAGGGCATTTGAAGGTGGCGAGGGGGATGAGGAGCAGCAGGAGGAGGGGGAGGGGGATGAGGAGGTAAAGGAGGTGGAGGCAGAGGAGGAGGAGGATGAGGAGGAAGCGTCCTGGTAATGGAACGTTCGGAACTGCCTGTGGGGCCCCTGCGCGGTCGATCCGCGACTTTCCGTAGCCTGCGGCGCTTCGCACGGTCGATATTCAACTCACTTACCTGTTGCACGACCCACCCGCAAGAGTGCCCGCGCCCTTCCTCTGCTACTCTGCCTGGGACGCTCCACGGTCGCCTTCGGTAGGAGGCTGCCGAGGAGGAAGCGCAGGAGGAGGCTCTCTCCAGTCCGCTCGCTTGTGTGGCCGCTGCGTGCGGCCGAAGGGGTTCCGTGGGAGGCCTCGTCGGGATCATGGACCCGCCGAGGCCCGAGTGCAAGAAGGCTATCGAAGACTGCAGGGTCGCCGGCATTTCTGTTCTTATGATCACCGGGGACAACAAGGTGACAGCGGAGGCCCAGCCCAGAGGGGGCCCGGAGGGCGCGCAGTGTGCAATGGTCAGCCTGCTTTCTTTCACCACGCCCCACATCACCTCCAAATGGCCAGAATGAAATCACATTCCACTTCTACAGCGAACATATATCGACATTCTTATCTATACACATACACATACACACATGCACACATATATATACACATATATATAGATGCATACATACGCCCATACATTTACATATACGTGTGCATATACATACCCATATACACATACATTTACATTTACATTTACATAGACATATACATATACATATACACATACATATACGTGTACACGTATACATACACATACATTCACAGTTTGCATATACATTTACATATGTATTTGCATTTACATGTACTAAGCATGTCATTATTCGTATTCATACACAAATTCATGCCCATATGCACATACACATTCATGTACACACCTATAAATGCATTCACAGACACATACATACATCATATACACATACAAATGCATGTGCACAACAACATACATGTATACATACATTTACCTACACATACACACTGAAACATAACCATAATCATTTACACATACATATACATATACATTTGAAGGCCCTCAAGGCGCGTGGGCGCTGTTGCAGGGCGGATTTCAACGTCGGCAAGGGTACTGCCGTCTCGATCGTCATGGTGCACGGGGGGCACGGTGACGAGCTTCTTCCTAGCCTCGCGGATGCAACCGCTCTGGCCAAGGCACGTCCCAGACGAAGCCGCCTCATATTCATCGGCGACATGAACGTCGACCTTTTACCCACTCTCCCCACAGATCCCTTCGCTGGCTCGCCACACCGGAGCCGCAGACACCTGGAGGAGCGGATGCACCTCCACAGCTTTCTGGAGTCATTCAAGATACGATGTAAGTTGCACGACATCGATTCCTTCATTGGGAACTTTCCCGCCTCACCCATGTACTCCCGTACAGCATCGATGACACGAATGCCCCCGCCAGGAACAACAGCGCAGCCGTCCCTGATTGACCATGTCGCTTCGGATGGATGCGTGCATGCCGTTCGCGGCTACTGGACAGATTTCTATTCGGACCATGCGGCAATCGCTGCCTACGCAGACGTTGGCCAGGCGACACGGACGATCGTGGGCCCCTCAACGTGGAGATGCCGTGACGGCCAGGCCGCCGTCGCGTTGGCGAAGACACGCGCCTCAGACCTTCCAGAACACCGCTGACCTCATGGCCTGGGTCGCCCAGCTCCAGCACGAGAGCGCTGACAGCCGTACATCCTCCAGCGGTCAAAGAGCTACGACGCCGAGCCAGGGCGGCCACAGACAGGCGCCAGCAGCAATGGCTTCGGAGGGAACTGCATACAGCCCGCGTCACTTGGCTCACCACGCTTCGACAGATCCGCCAAGCGCAACGACTGAACGAAGGCAAGGTGAACTGGAAGTCCAAGAAGCTTCTACCGCTCCGAGCCATGCAAGCACCAGACGGAGGTGAGACCGCCGACCACCAGGAGTGGGCTTCCATGATCGAGGCCGAGTTCCGCGCTTTGTGGCGGTGCGGCAACCCGCACCTTTTGAGCGTGCAGAGCGATTTCCTGCGGTCATGTGGCAACGCCAGCATAACCTTCTCCAGAAAGGGCTCGCAGATGCGCTCGCGGGCCTCCGCCATGCAGCGGTTATGGACAACAACGGCATCACGGTCGCAGCCCTCCGGCTCCTCTACGAGGCCCGGCCGGACGCCGTGCGCAAGGCTTTTTTCGACCTCGCGAGGAGCCAAGAAGAAATGGGCAGCCTTGTCATCCCGGGCAGGGCGAGCGCGAAGCGCCCCGGAGCCATCCCTCCCATACTTCCCTTGCCAGTGGTGCTGGCGGTCGTCGACTACCTTTTGGCAAAGCGTGTGCACGATATCGTCGACAGGTACGCGGCCCGTGTCTTGCCGGCCGCGTCGATTTCGCCGTACCTGGAGTGTGCCAAGAGCAGGCGCCAGACGTTAGATGCCGTTCATCCGCTGGCGCTCGTCATCGAGAAAGGCATGGACGACGAATCCAAGGGCTGCGCCTGCCAACAGGATGTGCGGAAGTACTACGACGCCCTGCGAGCGGTTCGCGTCGCCAGGTGGCTTAGGGACGAAACCGGTTCGTCTGACGAGGCCGCCACCCTGGTGAAGTTGCATGCTTGCCCACTCGTCGTGCTCAGCGTGGGGTCTGCTTTCGCAGCGCTGAGGGCCCGCACCGTCGGTATGCACACTGGCTCCCGGAGCGCCGGCGCAGCCGGGCGCATCCCTCTGCTGGACGTGGCGTCTCAGCGCGCGCATTGCTGGCAGTCCCTCGACTTCGAAGGCACAGGGTTAGCATCTTTCGTTGACAACCTCCTCGCAGCGTCCCGGGTTCCGTCCGCCGCCATCCGCATTCAGGACGATTGCGCGGAGCAGCTCAGTCGGCGCTGGACTTTGCAGATCGGGGAGGACTCCCAGGAATACCTCATTTGCAAGGGCGGGCGCGACAACGTAGTCTCGCCGCACAGCTGGGACAAGAAGGAGTCCATGAAGACGCTGGGCCACATAATTGACAACAATGGTGGCATCACCTCGTGCTACGCGGCGGCCACGGCGGCGATGCTCCGAGCGTTTTTCGGCAATCTGGATAAAGGTCTGCACCGGGCAAACGAGGGTGCGAAACTCCGGTTCCTGACCAGTGGCGTATTGAGCATAGCTAAGTATCGATTCTCGCGGTGGCTTTACCAGAGAACGTACGCCAGCAGCATTGACCGCGTGCAGCGCAAGCTCCTTGCCATCACCTTCGACATCCGGCCAGCGCCGAACGAGGATTGGGGCGCCTTCGTGTTACGGCGCCGCACGATCGCCCAGTCCCTGGCCGCGCGGACTGGGCGTTGGAGCCAGGCGTGGGCGAAGGCGCGGACACGACGTGCAGGCTTGGACGCCGCGCGTGCTCGGCTATCGCGGCGCGGAGCGGCGGAGCTGGCAGCGCCTGATCGCATCTCGCGGGCAGGAGTCGCGGTTGGGAACCCGGCGAGTCCGGGGCAGACCCCAGCCCCGGTGGGAAGAGACGTTGCCAGAGGCAAAACGGGCGGTAGCTAGTGCACCGTAGGTGAGCGGAAGCCAAAGTAGATCAGAGTCACCAGGGCTCTGAAAGCGCCCGAAAGGAATACATAACTATATACATATACATGTACATATACGTGTACATATATATATATATATATATAGATACGTATATATACATACTCATGTACATATACACAAGCATACGCATCTACAAATACACATGCATGTATGTATAATTTACATCTGCGTATACGTTTAAGTTTACACATACACAAACATACACATACCCATACACAAACGCATATACATTCACAAACACACACATATACACATCCATATACACAAACATATACATACACATACACATTCACACATACGTAGCCATCAACACAAGCGTACATATTCATATACATAGGCATACATATGTGTACATTCATATACAGCCACAAACTTTTGCATGCACGCGCACACACATATGTATGTATATGTATACACATGCATGCATGCATGTATGTATGTATGTATGTATATGTGTATATATATATATATATATATATATATATATATATGTATACACGCGCACACATAAGTGCGCTGGCGTTCCTGGGGCCAACATGAAATGCCCCAAGCCTCTATGGGTGGACCAGGGTCTTGGGGACACTCCAATATGGCCCCCAGACGGCCCCAGATTGCCCGAGATGGCCCCAAGACGGCCCTGGAGCACGCCCAGACGGCCGCAGATGGCCTCCAGATTGCCGGAGAAAGCTCAAGATGACCCCCCGACGGCCCCATGAGGCCCCGAAAAGGCTCACGAGAGACTCCCAAGAGCAAGAGGCTAACATTTTCCAAGCATCTTACAGAAATCCATGCTTTTCCCAAACATCCTGTGGTGTTGGGTCTCTCCTGTGGCTCCAGTCCCAAGTGTTTCCCATGTATTCGTATGTAGTGAGCTTTTCCTGGGGCGTGGGCTCTTTGTGTTTTTTTCGTCATTTCCTATATTTTGCCCCTTGTCCAATGGCTCCACTCCTCTGTGTGTGTCCGCATGTTCCTGTATTTCGGACCTCTCATGCGGCACGACGATTGTTTTTTTACACATGCTCCTATATATTGCCCTTCTCCTGTGGCTCCCGTCCTAGGTGTTGACGTATGTTCCTATAGATCGGGCCTTTTTTTTTCTGGCGTGGCTGGCTGTATCACGGCCCAGCCGCTGTGCGAGATCTTTTGGGCCAGCCAACGAAGCTCAAGGGTTTCGCGCTGCGTTTGCAGGAGCACTCCTATGATTTGCTTCATCATGGAGGGAGGGATCGCGTAGCGATTCCGATTCAATCACGCTCAATTATGCTCAGGCCACTGACGTGGATATGCACTTATCCTCCGCTTAGACGCGCTCAGACTCACGCGCATAGACTCATTCGTACTACCGACATTCACTACAGCCAACCCATTCACAGTTAGGTCCCCTCCCTATTTGTCAATGCTTAAGCCTGTTTATTTTCGAAGTCCCTTGCGCCTAGACATTCACGGTGAAAAAGGCCCGCGCAAATGGTTGCGCGCATGGGGACCCCCGCGCAGTGAGCAATTATTATTCCGACCGCGCCGGTTCCTCATACACTTCCCTCCTCCTCTTCCTCCTCACGAAGGAAAGATGATGGTGATGATGTGGATGGTGGGGATGATGCCGACGATGATGGGGACGAATAAATGCTACCCTGAGTCACACCTAGGGACATTACTCACGCATTGCTATGATGATGGGGACGATGATGCTGCTGCTGATGATGGTGATGCTGCTGCTGCTGATGATGATGATGAAGATGATGATGATGATTCTGGTGGTGATGATGACGGCGATGATGATGTGATGGTGATGATGCTGGCGATGGTGGTGACCATCAAAGTTACCATTGTGATGTTGCCGAAGATGGTAATGATGATGACGGAGCAGATCTTGACGATGTGTGGGGCGGGTTTCCGCACCCCCAAGTGGGGGCACCAAGGGGATACATCGGCGTTACAAAAGTTTCGTCATAAAATAGAAGTCGATCATCTTGCATAAGCAAAGACAAATCCCGCCCCGGTGGGATTTCTAGAACCGCGTGAATTTACGTCGGGATTTCAACATGTCCCGTTTTTAACCTATACCATTATAGTAAGGGATGAAATCCCACTTTTAGAAATCTCGGATCTTTGATCCGACCGCTCTTGACTCAGTCCGCTAGGATTCTAGGGGGGAAGAGGGGGCCAGCTCGGCGCGGCCAGGGCAGTGGTCAGCCCCTGCCCGCTTGCTCACGCGGAAGGAAGACACGAAACCCATGCCACCTTCAAGCTCTCATGAAACGTGACGAACTTTTGTAACGGCGTAGCGGCATTTCAGACACCGCGCGGCGAGCGTCGATCCCCTGGAAATCTGGCGTGGCAGGCGTAGCCTTCCTTATCCGGCGCGGCAGGCGAAGCCTTTGTTTGTCCGGCGTGCACGGCGAAACCTCATCGTAGGCGAGCAGACCGGTCTAACGCAATGGCGATCATGGCGGGTGATGCGCAGGGTTGCGCGCGATGAAATCGATGGGGTGAATGATGATGCGTCGCCATCGTGGATCCCTAGCAGCATTTCAGACACCGCGCGGCGAGCGTCGATCCCCTGGAAATCTGGCGTGGCAGGCGTAGCCTCCCCTATCCGGCGCGGCAGGCGAAGCCTTTGTTTGTCCGGCGTGCACGGCGAAGCCTCATCGTAGGCGAGCAGACCGGTCTAACGCAATGGCGATCATGGCGGATGATGCGCAGGGTTGCGCGCGATGAAATCGATGGGGTGAATGATGATGCGTCGCCATCGTAGATCCCTCATCGGCGTTACAAAAGTTTCGTCATAAAATAAAAGCCAATCATCATGCATAAGCAAAGACAAATCCCGCCCCGGTGGGATTTCTAGAACCGCGTGAATTTACGTCGGGATTTCAAAATGTCCCGTTTTAAATCTATACCATTATAGTAAGGGATGAAATCCCACTTTTAGTAATCTCGGATCTTTGATCCGACCGCTCTTGACTCAGTCCGCTAGGATTCTAAGGGGGAAGGGGGGGCCAGCTCGGCGCGGCCAGGGCAGTGGTCAGCCCCTGCCCGCTTGCTCACGCGGAAGGAAGACACGAAACCCATGCCACCTTCAAGCTCTCATGAAACGTGACGAACTTTTGTAACGGCGTAGTATTGCACTCTTTCGTTCGCGCCCAGATTGCGGGAGATGTTTTGAGTGGTTTTCCTGTTTGCGCCCTCAACATCCTTTGCTTTCGCATCAGATGTTGACGATGTTTCGGGCGAGACGCTGGTTTCAACGCACCCAGGGGGGCACGCGAGGGGGGATTTGCACGGGCCCGTTCGCGCCCAGATTGCGGGGAGGTCTCGAGCGGTTCGCCTGTTTGCGCCCTCGGCATCCTCCGCTTTGGGAACAGATTGTGAGGATGTCTTTGACGAGGCGCTGGTTTTCGCACCCCTGGGGGGCTGAGGTTGCGAGGATGTTTCGAGCGGTTCGCTTCATGCGTTGGCCAGACTCGCTTGCGTTCAGGGCAGATCTTGAGGATGTCTCGGGCGAGGCAACCTCAAGGGGACGTCCCTAGGGAGTATATCATCCCTCCGTTCGCGCCCAGATTGCGGTGATGTCTCGAGCGGTTTGCCTGTTTACCAATTCGACACCCTCTGGTTTCGGAACAGATGTTTGGGATGCCTCGGGCGAGGCGCTGGTTTTCACACCCCAGGGGGGGGCCATATTGAGACGATGTCTCGAGCGGCTTGCTTGTTTCCGTGGCCAGACTCGTCTGCGTTCAGGTCGGATCGCGGTTTCAGATCGGTCCTACATATAGCCCGTCCCATGTGGCTTCAGTCCAACGTGTTGTATCTGTTCCTGGAGATTGGGCGTCTCTGGTGGCACGGGTTCTCTCTGAGTTTTACGTATGTTATTATGTATTGTCTCTTCTACGGTTGCTATATATATATATATATATATATATATATATACACACATATATATATATATATATATATATACATATCGGACTTCTCCTGGAGCACGAATCCCCTCCAGGAGGCCCCAGGAGGTCCAGGAGGTCTGGGAGACACCAGAAGGTCCAGGAAACACCAGGGAACACGAGGAGGCCCCAGGAGGCCCCAGGAAACCCCAGGAAGCCCTAGGAGGCGCCAGAAGTTTCCAGGAGGCCCCAGAAGGCCTCAGAAGGCCCGCCATTGCGTGATTTTTTGTGGGCGAACCAGCGAAGCGCAAGGGTTTCGCACGGCGTTTGCATGAGCACACCTACTGCTTGCTTCATCATGGAGGGAGGGATGACGTTGCCATTTCGATTCAGTCACGCTCAGTCATGATCGGGTCACCGCCGTGCAAATACTTCCGTCCCTCGCTTAGACATACTTCGACTCATCCGCGCAGACTCACTCGTACCATGGAGACTCCTTCACACTGCAATTCGTTCGCGATTGGATTCGCTCCCAGTCTGTCAATATTCAAGCCCGTTTGTATTCGAAAGCTCTTACCCCTAGACAATCACGGCGGAAAAGGTCGGTTCAAATAGATGCACATATGGGAAGCTCCACGCCATGAGTAATTGTCCTCCTCTGTCCAGTTCTGCTCCGCGTGCCGCGTGGGTGCAATGCCGCTGCTGGGACATTGCGGCCATCGACGTGGATGGACCCCCGCGACGCGGGCACGGCCAAGCGGGCAATGTTGGGGATGCCGATCGCGCCGGCGCGGCCCGCCCATGATGCGGAACCTATATGATTCGATATTCGGCAGGGCCACGTGGAACGTCTCTATATGAACGTTTATTGTAACAGCGGCCACATGGAGAGTCAAGTTCGGTTATTTGATTTGCGGGATGGATTTGTAGTAGTTCAAATCTTCGTTGGCTTCTTAAGAACTTGTGTGTATATGTGAATATATATATATATATATATATACACTGAGAGAGAGAGAGAGAGAGAGAGAGAGAGAGAGAGAAAAATGAAAGAGAGAGAGAGGGAACCCAACACCTACTTGCATTTGCTGGTCATTCAGGAACACGAATGAAGTACGAAACGTTGTTTTCGGCCGTCTTTGTTGTAAGTTCGCCATCGCGAAGCTCGCGCCAAGGGCCAACGGCAAGGGCCGACTGGCCACCTCGCATTGGCGTTCGCTTCGAGCGGCCAGCATTTGACAACATTAACTTCAAATTTGGTTAATGCGCCTTTGCGGTGTCGCCCCTTTTCACGTCTTTAAAGTCGCCCGCTTCGATATCGAAACAGGGCGGAGAGTGGTCTGGGCCGGCGCGATTCGGAAATTCTGCGATAACCGACGAAGGAAGGACGGCGCCAACCTCTACCCAGCGAGCAATGTCACCCGCGCCCAAGACATCGCATCGACAAAGAACTTGCACGACACAGTTTGCAGGTTAGTGTCGACGAGTGCAGCAATACTCAAACGGGCATCAGTTCGGGACAGTTATTCTGCTCCCCCTTCCTCCTTTCACTCTGCCCCCCTTTCTTTCCCTCCCTGTGTCTGTCCGCCCTGCTTTTCGCCCTCCTTTCATCTGTCTGTCCGCCCTGCGCCTTTCCTTCTCTTCCGCCGACGTCCTTCCTCTGTGGGAACAGAAAAAGGTGTGTACATATACCGTTATTCCCTGGACCCGTTCCCGGTGACCAGGATTTCGAGGCGAAGCCAGCGGTGGCGAGGAGAGCCCAAAAAAGGGAGGACGAGGCACGGGTAGTGGTATTCATGCCTGGTCTTCCTCCGATGTTCCTTCCTCGCTACTCCCTTCTCCCCCTTCCCACCTCGCAGGGGAGGAAAACCACCGCGACCTCCACATCTGGCATTTACTAACAGCCCCCTGGCGTTCACTGAACAACACTGCCCTGTTCCGTTCCTTCGTGAGGCGCGTCTACCAAGTAATTCGTGTTTCCTTGTCGGGGTGGTTAAAGCGAGTACCAAGTAGTGCTTCCCCCCCGTTACAGTCAACGCGCATATGTAGGATGAGTGACTCTCCCAGGTTACCCAGACCCCCTCACAGGAGGTTTTTCGCTATTTTTTGCTTCCGGGGACCCTTACAGGGCCTCGGGAGTGTTAAAACAACGACTCGGGATGAAAGGCCAGTCCGTGGGAAGGGGTCCAGACTTGTGGGGGTCGACGTTGTGAAACAAACACACGACGTCGGGGGGTTTGGGTACAGTCAGCGCACATAGTAAGCATCCTTCCCCTTCGGCCCATCCTTGGCCACTTCCGCTGGCCGTGTCCCGCTCGAAAGACGTCGGCACGGTGTTCCAAGGCCCTTGCATCCGAATCGTGCATTTGTATTCTGCGCGTTGACTGTGCTCTCGCCTCCCTCTTCACTCTCCGCCTCCACCCTCCCTGCTCCCTGCTCCCTGCTTCATGGTTGCAAAGTTCAGTGCGTACTCTTCTTCTTCTCCTTTTGTATCTTGCACGCCGCGGGCTGGGGATTTGCGCTTCTGAGCGCAGAGGGAGCTGTCGGCAGGGAGGCGATCGCCCAGAAATTGGGCATCCTCAAGTCGGTGGGCGGGCAGGGCGCGGGGCTGCCCACGGCTCGATCGGTTTCGAATCTCTCGATGTTCTTTTTGGAGGCCTTTTTGGGGCCCACCTAGCTCTGCGACCACCTGCGAGTCCTAACCCAACGGGGCCACTCGACGCTGGGTTTTCGATGCCTCCGCTGGCGTTCGCCTGGCTGCGAGCATCCCTCGAGTACCCCAACCGGCATTTCAGAGATCAGGCCTGAAGGTGTAGGGTTCACATGTCGTTGCCTACTTACAGATTTGTTCGACAGTCGTTCGACTCTAGTTCGACTCAAGCTCGACTCTAGTCTGACTCAAATTTGGTTCAAGTTCGACTCATTCTAAACGCTTCGCGTAACCCCACCAGTTTCCTTCAGCTTCGCGGCTGCATTGTGAGCGGGCCGGCCGGCCTGTGCCTGTAGCTAATTAGCCTAGTTCGTGCTCCGGACTTTGCTTTCGCCGCCTGACCCTCGTCTCGCGGCCGCGACCGAAAAAGTAACCCCACCAGCCCATCCAGAAACGATGCCCAGGCGAGTTGCCCTGATTAGGGGTGTGGAGGGATACGCAGTGGTAGAACGGGCTGGGGTTGCCGTCACACCCCAAGATGGGGAGGATGGAGGAGGTATCGGAGGAGGAGGATGAGGAGGAGGACGGGGATGGGGGAGGAGGAGGGAGGAGGAAGGAGGAGGAGGAACAGGCGGATGAGGAGGAGGAGGAGGAGGAGGAGGAGGAAATTGAGGAGGAGGAGGAGGACGGGGATTGGGGAGGAGGAGGGAGGAGGGAGGAGGGAGGAGGGAGGGAGGGGATGAGGGAGGAGGAGGAGGAGGAGGAACAGGCGGATGATGAGGAGGAGGAGGAGCAGGAGGAGGAGGAGGAGGAGGAGGAGGAGGAGGAGGAGGAGGAGGAGGAGGAGGAGCAGGAGGAGGAGGAGGAGCAGGAGGATCAGGGCGCACAGAGAGGCCAGAGGCCTCTTGGATGCCTCTCGGGGTCTCTTCGGATGCCTCCTGAGAGCTTCTTGGTGTCCTCTTGGGGCGTCTTATGGGGCCTCTTAGCGGTCCCAGGGGCCTGTTTGAGCGTCTTGGGTACTCCCGGGGGGGCCTCTTGGGGCCTCTCTGGGTTCTCTTGGGAGTCTCTTGGGAGTCTCTTGGGGACCCCTTGAGGGCGTCCTGAGGCCTCTTGGGCGCCTCTTGGGGCCCTTTTTGGGCACTCTTGAGACCATCTTGGAGGTGATCAATCAAAGAAGAGGGTGTTAATTCAGGCCCCCCCCCCCAGGAGGTCAAACTGGGCCCAACACCGAACTAAAGACAGTGATTTTGCTTTCTCGCCGAGGCCGTCTTGGACGCCCCAATGGGTCGCGAACCCCGCCGTCCAGGTCCGAGGGGGAGGGGGGTATGGGGGGAGGTGTGAACTCCTTCCCGAAGGGGAAGAATCGGGACTGGAAGAGGAGCCCCCCTGAACCACTCACGCCCAGAGGGCTGGTGGGATTTCGACTCACGTCGACGGACGTTCGGCGCAGAATCGACGTATGAGTGGAGCGAGCGGCTCCAGGAAGGCCCTCCTATAACGAGCATCTGAGGGTTGCTGCGTGCCGGTGTCTGCGCGCGGCATCGGCCATCTCGGCTTCGCGCCGCCATGCGCGGCTCCTCTCCAGCACTCTCTGGACGGGGTTCGCTTCGATCCGTTCTGACCGCGGCAATGGTTCAGGGCATCAGTTGTCGGACGGAAGGTGAAAGAAGGGGGCCGCAGCGGGGGGTCTTCAATGGATTGTGAATGGCCTATCTACGGCGCTCGAGCGTCGCATTCCTGCCTCAATCTGCCCACGCGCAGTGGATGCCAACCATGTCGGATCGTTTGAATATGCCATAGATGGGCCATTCAGCCCCCATGGACGACTCCCTGTTGCGGACCCCTTTTTAAACCTTCAAAAGAGGTTGATGAGCTTTTCAAAAGCTCATCAACCTTGCGACGGTGATGCGACGGCCGCGGCGATGTTTGGTTCAAAATGGATGCTCGCCGGGGGGCGTTGCAGGCGGGCCTGCGCGCCCAGCATTGCATACTCTCAAAAAACAAACAAATACCGCGCAACTCTTTTGGAATTCGGCGGCTATTTCGGGGGTCGTGGTGGCTCCAAAGCATGGTCCTCGGTGACTTTTGTAGGTTCTTGCTGTGTCGACGCGACTGCGATCCCAGCGCGGGCGCTTGAGGTTGCACGCCGCCAGTGGCCCAGAATGTGTCTGCACGGACCGATGTGGCGTTCGCGAAGCCGCTAATCGCTCTAGTTTGAGCGATCTACATGCTGTCAGAACCAATGCCGAAGTCGTTACGACACGCATTTGCCGTAGGTCGCCGCGGAGAATACACCTCACACATGCGTTGGTGTGAAGGTAATCGCGCTTCGCGCGTCGCAGCCTGGGCCACAGAACGACCCTTTTTCAGAGCGGCGGCGAGAGGGCGCAAAGACATGGCCCGACACGTGAGGTGAGGCCACCCATGTGAGGATGAGCGGCATGATGACGAGGATGGCAGCTGATGTTGGTGGCGGAAACACGAGGATGCTTGTAAGCAGGGTCTCTCTCTCCCTCTCTCTCTCTCTCTCTCCCTTTTTCCAGATCGGTTTCTTCCGCCCTTCTGACTCTCTCTCTTTCCCTCTCTCTCTTTCTTTCTCTCTTTCTTTACCTCTCCCTGTTCCTAGTCACGAGGCTTATGCCATTCCGCTGACCCCCAGAATCTGACATGTGCGGCTTCCGATTTCGTGTGTGTTGTTTGCCACTTCCCGTCCTGCTGTTTGTGTATTAGGTGTTGATGATTCGTCCTCTTCTTCTTCCGTGTCTGTTGCGTGGCTTCTTGGGGGTCTCTCGGACTTTTGGGGGGCGGCCTGTCGATGTCTTTTCGAGGCTCCTGGAAGCTTTCTGGGACCCTCGGGGGGCTTCTTGGGGGCCTCTTGGGGTCATGCTTGGGGTTTTTCCCAACCATCCTGTGGTGTTGGGTCCTCGTTTTGAAGAGACAGCGCCCCGCGTCCCACCTCCTCTCCTCCTCCTCCCCCTCCTCCCTCCTCCCATCATCATCATCATCATCATCATCATCATCATCATCATCATCATCATCATCATCATCATCATCATCATCATCATCATCATCATCATCATCATCATCATCATCATCATCATCATCATCATCATCATCATCATCATCGTCATTGTCATCGTCGTCATCGTCATCATTTCGGCACACCCCTCACACGTTTCGTGGCCCCATAGGGAGCTCCACCGAAGGCCCCAGTGCTGCCGTCCGCATGCGTCCCGCACACCCATTTCGGCACACCCCTCACACGTTTCGTGGCCCCATAGGGAGCTCCACCGAAGGCCCCATGGCTGCCGTCCGCATGCGTCCCGCACACCCATTTCGGCACACCCCTCACACGTTTCGTGGCCCCACAGGGAGCTCCACCGAAGGCCCCAGTGCTGCCGTCCGCATGCGTCCCGCACACCCATTTCGGCACACCCCTCACACGTTTCGTGGCCCCATAGGGAGCTCCACCGAAGGCCCCATGGCTGCCGTCCGCATGCGTCCCGCACACCCATTTCGGCACACCCCTCACACGTTTCGTGGCCCCACAGGGAGCTCCACCGAAGGCCCCAGTGCTGCCGTCCGCATGCGTCCCGCACACCCATTTCGGCACACCCCTCACACGTTTCGTGGCCCCATAGGGAGCTCCACCGAAGGCCCCATGGCTGCCGTCCGCATGCGTCCCGCACACCCATTTCGGCACACCCCTCACACGTTTCGTGGCCCCACAGGGAGCTCCACCGAAGGCCCCAGTGCTGCCGTCCGCATGCGTCCCGCACACCCATTTCGGCACACCCCTCACACGTTTCGTGGCCCCATAGGGAGCTCCACCGAAGGCCCCATGGCTGCCGTCCGCATGCGTCCCGCACACCCATTTCGGCACACCCCTCACACGTTTCGTGGCCCCATGCTGCCGTCCGCATGCGTCCCGCACAGGCACACCCCTCACACGTTTCGTGGCCCCATAGGCCCACCGTGGCCATGCGTCCCGCACACCCATTTCGGCACACCCCTCACACGTTTCGTGGCCCCACAGGGAGCTCCACCGAAGGCCCCAGTGCTGCCGTCCGCATGCGTCCCGCACACCCATTTCGGCACACCCCTCACACGTTTCGTGGCCCCATAGGGAGCTCCACCGAAGGCCCCATGGCTGCCGTCCGCATGCGTCCCGCACACCCATTTCGGCACACCCCTCACACGTTCCTCCACACGTTTCCGTGCATGCACACCCATTTCACACGTTTCGTGGCCCCAGGGAGCTCCACCGAAGGCCCCATGGCTGCCGTCCGCATGCGTCCCGCACACCCATTTCGGCACACCCCTCACACGTTTCGTGGCCCCATCCACCGAAGGAGTGCTGCCGTGGCGTCCCTTTCGGCACACCCCTCACACGTTTCGTGGCCCCATAGCTCCACCGTCCAGGCGCCCGTCCGCCCATTTCCGCATGCGTCCCGCACACCCATTTCGGCACACCCCTCACACGTTTCGTGGCCCCACAGGGAGCTCCACCGAAGGCCCCAGTGCTGCCGTCCGCATGCGTCCCGCACACCCATTTCGGCACACCCCTCACACGTTTCGTGGCCCCACAGGGAGCTCCACCGAAGGCCCCAGTGCTGCCGTCCGCATGCGTCCCGCACACCAGGTGTGTGGCGTGCCGACATGGGCGTCGCGGCGCGCGGGCGCTGCCGTCGGGGTTCCCAGGGAAGCCCCCTGCAGAGGCGACGCTCAGAGTCACGAGTACCGAGAGTCACGCAGACCCAAACTGTTCACAGTCGTATACATACATTTACACTGGGCGTATCCATGCACGCATTCATGCGAATAGAATCAATCGCGCGCAGATTCATTCATAATCAGACTCGCTCGCGATCCGACTCGCACGCGCTCAAGCTTTCATATTCGGACCTATCGTCTTCGTTCGTGTTGTGTACACTGCCACGCATTTCGGCACACCCCTCATACGGCTCGTGGCCCCATAGGGAGCGCCATCGAAGAAGATATTCACAATTGCGGTACTCTCAACTGCATATGGTTGGGTCCTTCGCCAGGCTAATTTGATTTGCTCGTGGGTGATCGTCTGCCGAACACTCCTGCCCGTGGCGCCGAAACGACGAGCGAGGGGCCCGAAGGAAGGGCCGAAAGAGACGAGGGACGGACCCCAGGAACCCAGACAGAGCCGAGCGAGGGACCCGACCGAACACACAGGGACAACGAAAAATCGAGGGCCCGAAACAGAGTGCAACGAGTGTTAACTTAATTAACACTCCTTAAATCAAGCGGGGCGGTACTAGAGAGAATCTCAAGACAGCCTCCGCATCACATCCACCTCCCCCGTACCCAGCTCAGACAGCCCGCTTCCCGCGGTTGAGACATAGAGCGGGCCGATCAAGATGGTCATCATCGTCTGGTGGCCGGAACGAGTTCGGCGGGAAGTGGAACGGCGTTGCCTGAGCAGCATGTGCTCTGAGCCAGGCACGTGCCACGGCATCCCGAGCATTCCACCAATCAGCACCAGGAACGACGGCGTGAGGTCGACGATGCACACGAACAGCTTCACCAGGTGCTCTGAGCCAAACGTGCGCCACGGCATCACGAGCACTCCACCAAGCAGCACCAGGAACAACGACGTGAGTAGAAGGGCCAGACTCGGCCGTCACAGCCTCCTTCTGGAAGTCGACGTCGAGACGAAAGCGTACAGGTACAGCAGGCACAGCTTGAAGACCAGCAGGCTCTCGATGAGGAAAGAGTCTCCCAGGATCTCGAGGACCAGGCTCTCGAAGACCAGCAGGCTCACGAAGATCAGCAGGCCCTCGATGATGAGGAACATCATGAAGACCAGCAGGCTCTCGATGAGCAGCAGGAAAATCATGAAGACCAGCGGGATCTCCACGAAAGTTGTATAGACCCACTTCAGGAGGATCCAAATGACCAGGAAGTTCGAAACGACACGGCTCAGGAAGGTCGTCAGCAGGAACAGCCTGAAGATCATAAGAATCTCGGCGAGCAGGAGCGTCACCATGATGTAAATCAGGACGGTCGTCGTAGCGGCTCGCATCTGTGGCTGGCGGTGCCCAGAAACCAGGAGCGAGCTCTGCATTCACATGAACAGGAAGTCGGGGCTGGAAGGGATCGGCCTCGGCGTTGAGCGGAAAGGCCATCATCTTCAGCGTCGACTCGAGGACAACGGCCCGAACAGCCGCAGGCGGCGGCGGCGGCATCCCGCTCGCGCATGGCGGCGGGGCGTGGCGGCACCAGTTGCCAGTCTCCAGGGCGTCAATGGTATCCTGGAGCTCCGCGTCGTCGAGCCCCACCAGGCGGGCCGCCGCGATCGCGGCGCCCAGCGTGGGAATGTGGCCGCCCAGGCGATCTCCAAGGCGCCAGTGGGCGTCGAGGGCGACACGGAGGCCACGCAACCGGTAGGACATAGCGGCGGCCCTCGTCTGCCCGAGCTGCGCCCTCCGTTCGCGTCGAAGGCGCCGAGCCAGGGTCCGAGCACTCGCCGCAGCCCAGGCTTTGCCGCCAGCAGTGACAGCACGAGACATTGCGGCCGCTTGCGCGCATGCGCCTGGAGCAGGCGCACTGGCGAGGGCCTCCCGAAGCGCGGCTCGCTTGAGCCAAAATGGCTACGGATCATGCTTGGGGTCTTGAGGGTCATCGTGTGGGGCAGGGCTCCTGGGGTCCCTGTGGGTTCCCCCCTTTTGGGGCTCCGCCTCTCTTGGCCCCTTCTTTTGTGGCCTCTTGATGGTTCTTGCTGCCGTCTTTGGGGGCATCTCGGGGCCCTGGGCTAGCCAGAGCTGGTCACGGCGATCCGGTTTCCGTTCGATCTGGGAAGATCCGCTGGCGATCCGAGCCGTTCCCGGGAAGGTCCGACTTCGCGGCTCGATCCGATGCAGTTTTTCACCACAAGAAAAGATACCGAGATGCCCTCCAATGAATTTTTTCGGGGCGTCAGGGGAGGGTGGCGGTGTATAAATCACCACCGAGAGCCAGCGACTTTCTACTCCGCCGCCCTCCCTGACGGTACGGAGGGTGTCCGTGTAGATCTATTCGTGGCGTAAGCTCAGGCCTGACAGTGGCAGCGCGTCTGCTGTGGGCTCTGACGGCGGCAGGCGCTGTGTGCGGGCGCCAGGAGCCTGTGGGGGCGCTCCGGCCCGGGCGGGGTCGCGGCACGGTGCGCGGCGGGGCCGCAGGCGGACAACCTGAAGCAGAAGTCTTTCACCGGCAAGGCTTCCTCTCGCGGGAGGAGGAGAAAAGGAGGGGGATTAGCAGAGAGGGGTGAGGAGGGAGAAGTGCAGAGGGGATAGGGGGAGAGGAGGATGGGGCAGGAGGTGGGAGGGAGGAGGCGGGGGGAGGAGGTGGGCGAGGAGGAGGATGAGGAGGAGAGGATGATGGTGATGACGATGACGGGGACGATTGTGATGAGGCTGCTGCTGCTGCTGCGGATGATGATGATGATGATGATGATGATGATGATGATGATGCTGATCACGATTCTGCTGCTGATGATGACGACGATGAGGATGAGTATGAGTATGATGATGATGACGAATCTGATGATGATGCTGATGCTGCTGCTGCTGCTGCTGCTGCTTCTAGATGCTGATGCTGATTCTGATGATGATGATAACAATGACGATGATGATGATGATGCTGATTGAGACGATGATGATGATGATGATGATGATGATGATGATGATGATGATGATGATGATGACGCCGACGATGTGACCGCCGCCCCGATGATGCTGCTGCTGACGATGATGATGGTGATGCTGATGTAGTTGATAATGATGATGATGATGATGATGATGATGATGCTGATGATGATGATGATGATGATGGTGATGATGATGTAGTTGATGATGCTGCTGATGATGATGGTGGTGATGCGGATGATAATGATGCTGATCATGATACTGCTGGTGATGATGATACTGATGTTGATGGTGGTGGTGATGATACTCATTACTAGGATGCTGGTGATGACAAGGATGATGATGGTGATGATGATGAGGATGCTGCTGAAGCTGCTGCTGATGATGCTGATGCTGATGATGATGCTGCTGATGATGATGATGATGATGATGATGAGGATGAACATGATGATTTTGCTGATGATTATGGTGTGATGCTGATGCTGATGGTGATGATGCTGTTGCTGATACTGATGGTGCTGCTGCTGATGATGACGATGACGAAGATGGTGATGATGATGATGATGATGATGATGATGATGATGACGATGATGATGCTGCTGCTGATTATGATGATGATGATGATGCTGATGCAGATGCTGCTGCTTCTGCTGCTGTTGATGATGCAGATGATGATGATGCTGATGCTGATGCTGATGATGATGATGATGATGCTGATGCTGCTGCCGCTGCTGCTGCTGCTGCTGCTGATGATGATGATGATGATAATGATGATGATGATGATGATGATGATGATGATGATGATGATGATGATGATGATGATGATGATGCTGATGATGATGATGATGATGATGATGATGATGATGATGATGATTCTGATGATGATGATGATGGTGCTGATGCTGGCGCGGATGCTGATGCTGTTAATGATAACGAGGTTGATGGTGACGACAATGATAATGAGGAGCATGAGGATGGTGAGAGTGATCTGATGGTGCTGGCGATGCTGCTGCTGATTCTGGTGGAGTTGGTGGTCTCGTCGATGATCGAGTGTATAACCTTTTGGGCTTTTTTGGCTCTTTTCTGGTCCTTGTCAAGGGGCCTCCAGGGGGCTCCAGAGACCTCCAGCGATACCTCCGGAGATGCCTCCAGATACCTCCAGGGACCTCCGTAGACCTTCGTGGACCTCGGCAGACCCCTGGGGACCTATGGAGGCCTTTCCCCCTGGGCCAGCCCCCTCGTGGTTGCTTCCTCGAGCGACACTTGGCGGGCGAAGAACGGTGTAACGTACGTAGTACTCCGCAGATGCGGATAAGAGAAAGGGGGCGGTGGGGACGTCGGCAGTGTGCGAGACTCTGGAGAAGCCCGCCACAGGCGCCAAAATTTCACAAATTATGCAACGAGCCCGCCGCAGGCGCCGATTTTTTCTTCAAACCAATGCGGATCGGTCGCGGCTGGATCGCGGGTGGGTCGCGGGGTGGGTCGCGGGGTGGGTCGCGGGGTGGGTCGCTGGGTTGGTCGCAGGTGGGTCGCGGGGGGGACGACGACAACAAACAACAACAACAGCAGCAACAACAACAACACCAACACCAGCAACAGCAGCAACAACAATAGCAACACCAACACCACCAACAACACCAACAACACCAACAACAACAATACCAAAACCAAAACCAATAACACCAACAACAACAACAGCAGCGGCAACAGCAACAGCAACAGCAACAACAACAGTCATTTTAATACTGTTCGCTCATGTCTGCTCACGTGCCAATCACGTGCCAATCATCACGTATACCCCAAGCTCTCGGTGCCCGCCCTCATCGCCTTCGATCGTACCCCTTGGGGGTCTATCTTCCTTACCCGCCACGCGCATGTAGTGCATCCTCTTAAAAAAGAGGGTGGAAGGGGGAGGGAGAAGAATGGAACACGAGAGAAATTAGCAGAAGGGAGGCAAGGAACAGAAAACAAGTGGTATAACCAGACGGGCAGATCGGGTGGGCACACCCATAGCGGGCAGGTCGGAAGGCCTGGCCCAGGCGACCAGGTCGAGCGGGCGGGCTCAGCGGGCGGATCGATCGTGAGTTCTGCGTCATGGGCCAGGAAGTTTCCAGCGAGAGAGCGATTCCAGTGTGAATTTGAGGAAGTCCCCAGCGAACGCGCGATTCCTGAATGGCAAGAGCGCGGCGCCTGAGTAAATTGCGAGGACGTCTCATGCGGGAGCGCGATGCTTGATTAACCTGCGAGGAAGTCTCAAGCGGGAGCGGGGGACTGGAGTAACATTTGAGGAAGTATCAAGCGGGAGCCGTTGTTGTTGTTGTTGTTGTTGTTGTTGTTGTTGTTGTTGTTGTTGTTGTGGTTGTTGTTGTTGTTGTTGTTGTTGTTGTTGTTGTTGTTGTTGTTGTTGTTGCTGCTGCTGTTGTTGTTGTTGCTGCTGCTGCTGCTGTTGTTATTGTTGTTGTTGTTGTTGTTGTTGTTGTTGTGAACGGGGGGCCAGGGGCACAGTTTGAGGAGGAAAGCTTTCCCTGATAAAAACAGGGTGCGAGCGCCGGGAGGGGCACATCAGTTGAACAATATAATATGCGCCGGAGGGGGGGATCAGCAATAATTATTTAATCGCTTCGCTCATTCCGCCGGCCCGTATTGGTGCACGGCTGTCGAGTGCCCGTGTGATCGTTGTCAATGGGGTGCTGCTGGGTCGTTTTTTGTTTATGGATGGCTGGCTTTGGGTGATTTCGCAGGCGGGAACCATTCTTTGCCCGCCTGAACCTTCTGTTTCGGAAGGTGGCGGCTCGTGAATACGATCGCAGGGAACAAGACAACATTCTGCAGTTTCCTTTTCTTCTCTACTTCATCCCTCCGCAGCTATGTGTCGTCGTGTGTGAGGGGGGCGGGGTTTTAGGGGTAGCAGGGTAGAAGGGCGAGCGTGGAAAAGGCGAGTGGCAGAGGAGGAGGAGGAGGAGGAGGAGGAGGAGGAGGGGGGAGAGGAGGAGGAGGAGGTGGAGAAGGAGGGGGAGGAGGCGGAGGAGGAGGGGGACGTTCATTGGGATCTCGTGGGATGCCTCTCGAGAGCTTCGTGGAGACTCTCGGTAGTCGTTTTCGAGCCTCTCGGAGTCTCTTTCGGGCCCCTTGTCGTCTTTTTGGGGACTCTTAGGAGCCTTTTGGGGTGTCCAGGAGGCCGCTTGGAGCGGTGCGGAGCTGCAGGGTCGGCGGCTGGTTTTATCTAATTACCTTCGAACCATTCGCCACCGTGCCTGGGTGGGGGCTCTGAGGCTTCGTGGACGTTCATTGGGATCTCGTGGGATGCCTCTCGAGAGCTTCTTGGAGACTCTCGGGAGTCGTTTTCGAGCCTCTTGGACTCTCTTTCGGGTTCCTTGTCTCTCTCTGGGGCCTCTTAGGAGCCTTTTGGGGCGTCCAGGAGGCCTCTTGGAGCGGAAGGCTCGGATTTTCGGTTCGTGGTCTCCATCTTGGGCCTCTCTTAGGGCCTTCTTTGGGTCCTCTTGGACCGTCTTGGGCGCCTCTTGGGCTGTCGTGGGGCCCTCTTGGGCGGTCTCGTGCGCCGGAGGGGGGATCAACAATAATTATTCTTCAGTAGTGAGAGTTCCACAACGACAACGCAACAAGCATAATCCTCGCCACGGATTCTCATTTCAGCTACGCACCCAGCGACAATGAAAGACCGTTCGGCCCCCTCACTCTGATTTTTTCCTGCTGCCTGGCGTGGACCGTAGGGGTATAACCTTCCAGCCGCCCTGGGACAGGCGCCAACGACGGCGAAGCCGCAGGGGTAGAAACTTCCAGCCGCCCCGGGACAGGCGCCCCCGACGGCGAAACAGTTTCTCTCCCACCGCTCTTGTGGTCGTTTCCTGATTCGTTGTTTTGCCGATCGGCGCGGGCTCTCGCACCTCCCCTCCCACCCCCCCATGGAGTGGATCTTGGCTGTCTTGGGCGCCTGTTTCGAGCAGGTGGAGTCTCTCCCCCGTGGGGCGCACTGTCGCAAGCAGTCGCATTAAGCAGAAGTCTGGAGCCAGCCCCCCCCCCTCCCCCACCCTTCCGCCCAATGTTGACCCCAGTTTTGCTCCGGCGGTATATACATGGATAATCCTGAACGGTTTGTCTACCCTAGGCTGTGCTCATAAGATCGTTTCACTTTTAGGTGAGCGTGCCGATTGCCGAGAATGCGGTGACATTGGCCCGGCTGGCCAATCGAGCACGATCGTCCTTTGTCGTGGACGGGTATAGCCCCCATGAGGGGAAGCTGATCTGCTCCCATTCGGGGGAGCGTAAGACCCGGGTTTGCCAGGACTCGGGTTCGCCATCGTTTTTTGACGACCGCGCCTCGGATTTTGACGAGGAGGAGTTTCGTGGGATGTCTGCAGCGGGAGGCCTCGTCAAAATGCAGGCTCGGCCTCGTCATTTTTTTGACGACCTCGTCGGGGATTTCCGAGTCCTCCGTACCCGGGTCTTACGTCTCCCCGACCCATGAGGGTGAACAAAAACACGCCGAACGAGAAAACGCTCGCCTTCGCCCGCTGAGGCAGTGCCTCAGCGGGCCGGCGCGGCCGCTGTGGCGGCCACGGGCGGCCTCCTCCGCGCTCGGGCCTTGGGCCTCCGCCTCCTCCTCCTCCTCCTCCTCCTCCTCCTCCTCCTCCGCCTCCTCCACGGGAAAAAAACCTCCCTCTCCCCCTACGCCTCCCTCCTCCCCTTCCTCCGAGCGGGAGGCCTCCCGCTCGAGGCTGCGGCAGGCCGCCGCAGGAGCCAGAGAGCCCACCGCGCAGGGGCCGCGGAGGGGTCGCCCCGCGCCCGTTTGAGGATTCGAGCTGCTCTCAGGGGGCGCGGGGGGGCGGATCGCGTGTGGGGGGGGGGACCTCTGGGGAGGCCCTGTAGGGGTGGGGCCTGCGCCTGTGGGGGGAGACCTATGGGGGAGGCCCCTGGGGGGTGTAGAGAGCCATGGGGGGAGACCAACTGGGGGAGGGGAGGGAGGGGGTAGAGCGAGCCGGTGGCACGATGACTGCGTGGATCGCGTGTGGGGGGTGGATCGCGTGTGGGGGGGGGTCGAATGAGCCTGTCCAGCGCTGGGCCTGAGTGAGTTGGGTCGCGTGAGGGGGTGGATTCGGCGCGCGCGGGGCTGGCACGGGGCTTTCGGGCGGAGCGGCATCGGCAGGGTGCTTGTTCAACAACCTGAAGTATCCCCTGAGGCGGCGGACGATTGCCGCAGAGACAAGATTGGGCCGCCATCGCGGGAGCAGTAAGAGCGGCTTGATCTTTCGGCCGTCGACCGCTCCGCTGAAGAACGTGTCGGACAGCGTCATCTCGGGCCCATTGCACGGGATGAGACAGTGGTGGGAGCTGCGGGAAGCCAGTCCAGAAACAGGGTTTCGCTTCTTTTATTCCGCGCCAGTAGAGTGCATGGACCACAGCTTCCATCCCAGCGGCGCGTTAGCGCCAGCTGGAGCATCCTGGCGGCGAAATGCCTGGGAGTAGCAGCGGGCAGAGTGCGGAAACGTGGACGCCTCACTCGCGCACAGCCGCGCAAACTTGTGCAAGGGCACGACGCTCCCTGGTGGAGGCCTTGGACTTACCACCCGCCCGCCTGGGGCACAAAACCTCTTTTGGTGAGCTAGGTGCTGCACTCAGGCTAATCGTCTTCTTCACTTGGCCCCGAGCTTGGCCAAAAACTCGGGTCTGTTTGCTGCCACAGCTGCTGCGCGGGCGGCTGTCCCCGTCTGCCACTCCGGGAGTGCCGTTTTCGCCGCTCCTGCGGGTCTTGTGTCTTGAGCTGGTGCTCCAATTCACGGATCGCTTGCTGCCTCGGGCGAACGAGGCTGTTTACCTCCGTGATGGCCTCTAACACCGCCAGCTCGCGCCATCTGCGCAACTTCAGGACTTCAGGATAGTGGCGCTCGGCTGGGCGTCTGGCTGGCCGTCGGCTTCGTGCTCGCCCTCGTCGCTGTCTTGCTCGCCCTCGGAGCCGCGCTGCTGGTCCCTGCCGAGGCCGTCCGCGTCACGCAGCCGGTTCCCGTCGCTGCCCTCGCCGAGGTGCAGGTCTCCCCGGTGGACTAGGCAGCGTGGTGGTCCCTCTCCTTGGTCGTCAGCGGCTCCTGGTTCCAGCCGTGCTGCGGCAGGTTCCCGTGTCCCTCCTGTTGGCCGTCTTGCGCGGCGCCGTGCTGCGGCTGGGAGCGGCAGCGCTCCCCCGCCGACCTCGCGGCCTCCGCCACGCCCGTCGCGCGCAGGCGTTCGGGCTCCCGCGGGCCCTGGCCGCGCTGCGGGGAGGAGGAGGAGGAGGAGGAGGAGGAG